GCGTTCTTTAGGACCGAAAGAGTTAAACCAGTTTGTTTATTGTTTTTTTTTTACCATGTGGGATGCAATTTTTCGTTATTTGAAGCCCTACCCTGGCTTCTGTCGGGGGCCCTAAATATAGCCGGGGCATAGATATGGTCTGGCCATACATGTAACCCAAATCCCCCCCCCCACCCACCATAGCAACATAGGACAGAACAAGACCGGCTCCAGCTGAGGGGCCAAGCCGCTGACATCACCAAACCGGGCTAATGATACGTTAACTTCATATACTTATACGGATGGCAGAATTGGACATAGGCCTAGGTATTATGTTTTCTTGCTCCTTTCTATCTTTCCTCTTTCCTGTTCATAGCAGAGTAGATAAGAGTGCCGAGTGGCAACATCACTTCTGAGGTGCCAGGTAGTTAACATCCCTTGGATATTTTCTCCAGGAATGCCGGTTTGTTGGGAAATAGTAGTCAGATAGACTGGCCGGTTTTGCGCCGCTTGGTGGTGAACTGATGTATGACAAGCTGGATGTTGTGGTGGCTCTTTTGGGAGCGATGGAACAGTGCGGCGGAACACATCGATTATTACGGTCTGGGAGATGGCGCTACGAGGAGCTACAAGGGGATCTAGCCGACGCTCAACACTCAGAGGAAAGGTGAGATGGATATACAATCAGAAGGTTACTTGTGCCATCGGAATTGGAACTCTTCGCTTGCTACTGAAGATGGGGACGGAGCGCTTATGGGGGTGTCCCAAGTGCTGTGATGTCGATTCCTAATTCAACATTCAATTCAACAAAGCGGGGTAGATAAAAGTGGTGCAGTTGGCATATCAGGTTAGACTCATATTTGTACAGCCCAATCAACCCTATATGGGTAATGCAGTCAACATAACACCGATCGCTTTTACTTCCCAGGAACCGTCCTTAATGCTAAGTCCTAAAACGAAATCCATTTCTGCCGGGATCGACACGTTAAATGTCTGACTGCCACTTCACAACCACAGAGGTCAAGGCTGGCCAAGATGGCGGCCCCGAGGCTCAGGGCAGTGCTGTGGCTAGTTCATTGTGTTCCCTTTCTGGTTCTTTCGGGGACTTCTAGGGACGATTTACAGGCCGTTTTGTCGGCGGTTGAGAAGCTGATAAATTATTATCACAGAAATCATCAATACCTGAATCTAGATGGCTTGTTTGGACTACGAGTTATCGAAGGTTTGTGTTTCTTTTCATGTAAAACTTGTAAAAATTAAATTTTCATAAGTTGTTGTTGCAGTTAAGTTAGTTAATGAACAAGTTTTTAATATAATATGGTCTTAAGTTCTTAACGTATGAAAACCCACATCTTTTAGATTTTTATTTCAGAATACTTACTGTTAATCAGTTCTCTGATTGCGATCACTTTACCCCAGTGTGTTTTTTTTTTCCATTTAGCAACATGACAATATTGAAAAGATATGGGAAAGTATCACATTATATATGATAGTCCCAACCGACAGGCTAGAAAGGGTTCATGCAACATTGTATAAAAGAGAAAAAAAAAACAGTTGCAGCTACGCACAAGAATGCACAAATACTTAACTGAGGTATCTCCGAGAGAAGTCCAAATGTCTGTCCCATCTCTGGTTAGTTGAACTTAGACACAGTAACAGTAAATAAATATACCTCTCTGCTCACTCCAATTTGCCTTTAAATAAAATAGATTTAACTAAGTTACTTTCTTACTTAGTCACTCCTCTTCTACCTTAAGGTGTAGAGGTTTGCCAGAGAGCTCACCAGACGTCTCTATCAGCAGTTTTCTTTCTGGCTTTGTTCCATTCCAGTCCTCTGTCAGTTAGGGACTGTCGGATGTTGTCTTCCTCTCAAATCCTGGGTCGCTCTGGAGGTCTGGCTGCCTGGTTCTTAGCATCCCATGGTGGCCGATTTTCTCCCATTCTGCATACATTTCCAAAACTTCGGAACTGACTGATCCACTCGGGTATGTAAGGACTGGGTATCAAGATGTTAACGTATTGTCTGATTGCAGATTTCGTCACTTCTTAACACTTGGACCACCCTTCTCAGATATATAATTTCTGAGGCTTTAACTAAGTTAAAGAGATTTAATGTCAAGTTAAAGAGATTTAATGTTAAGTTAAAGAGATTTAATGTTAAGTTAAAGAGATTATATAATGACACTGCTTGGAACGGTGACCCCTAGGGGATACAGTCTATTATTTGTTTACAGCAACCACAAGGGACACAATCTATTGTCTATGTAAACATAATAATAGTCTGTAACATTTAATATTACTTCAGGTTAGAGTTTTGGTTAGGATAAGCCCTAACTCTAACCCAAATCCTAAACTCAAACTTTATTAAATGTAAGAGAATGTTCTGAGAACTTACACAAATAATTATTTACATCCCCTTGAGTCCACACTTAACTCTTTAAGGCCCGAGCAATAGTGTGAGTGTTGATTGAGAAGTTCCTTTTTGCCCAAACAATGCTGTCATCGTCAATCGTGTGTCCTGTACAAATTACTTCGCACACTGCTCCGTACTTGTTTCTGATGTTCGGAACTATGATTAAAGTATTCAGGGAAAGTCACTCTAACGATTTTCTTTCAACACCATTCTGTATCCCAAACCACACATGCATAGATTGATCAGATTCATTGCTAAATTTTTTCAACAGTGCATTCTCTAAGTTCTTTTTCGAGTGCCATGAATACCAATGTTCCAACCACAAGTACAGGTCACAGAATGCTTCCTTCTGCGGCCGAAGCTCTGAAATTGTTTGTCAAATGTTTTAAATTCTGATAACATTAATGAAAATTTAGATTTTACGGAACTGGAATGGAACAAAGCCAGAAAGAAAACTGCTGATAGAGACGTCTGGCGATCTCTCTGGCAAACCTCTACACCCCAAGGTAGAAGGGGAGCGACTAAGTAAGTAAGTAGATTTTACGGAAAATGATACGTGTGGTGAATTTTCACCAGCGAAGCTGAGCGATCAGCTGTTGGGAATCTAGAGATTCTGATGAGTTTATACTATGTTCCATTGCTACTGTATTTATGGTGTAAGAAAAGGAAAGTGCTCCAAGCAAAGAGACAGTACTATGGCTACGCTACATTGAAATCATTGCAACTACAGTCTTATATACTGTACAAAGTGAATAGTGTGTGTGTGATGGCCAATTTTTATGCCATTTTTCTCTCTGAGATCATGCTCAGCACTCTGTGAGAACTAAGAGCCCCTGAGTGCTAAACTAACCCAGAAACTTATCATAACTTTGGAATTTGTTAGGAAATTGAACAAACTTTGAAGTTGTGTTCTCAAATTTGGATATTGACTACTCTTGTGTCTGCAGAACCATGGTAAGGGAAGAATTTGTTTGTAAAATGTTGTTGTGAAATTAACACCTGCTGAATTATTATTTCCTACTGACTATAACAAAATTAAACATACACTAACAAAATTAAACATACACCTATCATCACATTCAAAATGTACATTTATTTCTCTTTAAAAAATGTGTACTTTTATAGGGATTAGAAGTATATTACATTCTCTATTACCTTTCTTGTACCCTACGCCCATTGCTATTTTTGTAAAGGGAAATTAATGTGGGCCAAGTCTGTCAAAATTCATGGGCCTGAAAGAGTTGAAGTATTGTCAACTTACAATAGATTGCATCCCTTTTGGTCGCTGTTGGAAGGAGAGTTTAACTAACTAGAATGTATACATGTTTTCCAGAGAATAAAATCTAAAATTTTCAGTCAGAATGCATCTGCCTGAGAGGCAGGCAATCAGCATTTGCAAACAGATAAGCCTCATCTGTAAAACTCAAGTTCTGGAACATGATTAAAGTCCAGAAGTAGATAAATAACCAGGTATTTCTGCTTGAGTTAACAGCCACTGAGCACAAAGAATAGGAAAACTGACTCATCAAAAGCTACTTCTGCCATGGAGGGGGTAATGATTTGTGAACTGGTGCACATTGGCTAGCACTGGCTATTGTTGTGGCATGAAGGTGTAATGTGTCTTTAATGTTGTCTATCCATATTTTTCATTGCTGTCCTCTTGATATTTTAACTAAAACTTCCTGCCGTAATTTACAGCAAAGCATCATGAAGAAACAAAATGGTAGTTGTCACAGATTTGGGCTATCTTCCGAATAACGGTCCTAAATATAACTATAACGCCACCGCCGAATTGCGAACTTCTGGCAACTTCCTCCACAGCTGAGAGTATCCCCCACGCCGCTCATGCAGCGTGGATTGGGGCTAAACTAGATGACTAGGACTCACGAGCAAATAAAATTAAGGAAGCTGCAGGAAATGCGGTAGCTGCTGTTCGTGAGTCCCAGCCATCTAGTTTAGCGCCAATCCACGCCCCGTTGGGGATACTCTCGGCGGCGGCGGAAGTCGCCGGAAGCGCGCAATTTAATACGACCAAAGTGAGAATTTGACACGTGACTGAGGCCCTGTTAGGGTATGTTTTCCGGCTCGATAATTTAGGACCGTTATTCGGAGGATAGTCCAGATTTGGGTTGAAAAAAATGTTTAATGTCCGAAAGGTCACCCCGGTCTTAAAGTGGAAGAAGAAGAACTCGTCTTGGAAAATGGGTACCAAAGAACTTTCCACTTTGAAAGATGTGAAAGGGAGCTCATTGTAACATTTTTGGAACATGAAAATAAAAGGGGAGGGGGGGGGGGGGGGGTTGTAATAAAGCAGTCAAGTCTTCCACTGAGCACATGGGTTTATTTTTATGCTGCTTCAGTAATGGAGAACAGCTCCCAAAGGTGAGGAAGACTTGGAACCAGCACAGAGTGGACACTTGATATTAGACACCTTGACCGAACAGATATTAGGGGGCTTGAAATGAAGGCCTTCAAAGGGTGTTGGAAATCGCAATAACCTGTCTTGAAACCTGTCAGTATTGGTCACGGTCAGGATGTAGATGATACATTACCTAAAAATAGCATTTAGGGGGATTCCTTTACACCAGGTAGTGTTTTTAAAGCCAAGTTGAGGTCAGATTTTCCTGTAAGTCTCAGTGATGTGGGTCACGACTTGTTTCATCTTATACATATATGTTTTAGACCCTGGGGAATATGTTCCATTCAATGCTTCACTCTCTTCATGTTTATTGAAACTCCCTTCATGTATTTTAAACAAGAATAAATGTGCGTTATATAAATAAATATATATATATAAGTAAAGCCGGGAGATGTGAACCAGCGTCATTGCGCACGGTTATAACTCATAAGTGCTCTGCCACCAGTACAGACAGTGATAAGAAACTGTCAGCTTGCCTGTGTCGCCATCCGCACGTAACTCTGCAGCTACAACAACGTTCCTCCATTTACCCCTCAGTGTTAACTCTAGTACCCATAATCTAGAGGCTGAGTGAATACTGGTGAAGCACCCGGTTTCAAACACCAGCCGTTTTTCTGCAGCAAGTCGCAGCTGGATTTTAAAGCGAGTCTCCTATCAACTGGGCTAGCGCTATATATATATATATATATATATGGGAGTCGCCGTGGCCGAGCGGCTAGACGCTCGCCACGGATCGGAAGGTCGTGGGTTCGCTCCCTGGCGGAGCCGGACTATTTTCATAAATGACCTTGGCTCCCAGGTCGACCCAGCCTTGAGTGGGTACCGGGTGCAGTCCCGGGAAGTAAAGGCGGCCGACGCGATGCTGACCACATCACCCATCTTGTGCCGATTGGTCCATACAAATATAGGTCTAGCCCTACTGCCCTATACGCCTAAAGGCGTGGAAAAGGGTCCTTTATTTTTTACTTTATTTATATATTGGTGACCTATGTAAAATTATTTTCTGATAGATTATTTTGTTTAGAATCCCCATGGGGTCATGACCATTTTAAAATTAATTGTTGTATTTAGATTTACCAGGAAGAAGGGGCTAAACCAAAGACATAAGGATAGGGTTCCTTTGTATCTTTTCAGGTCAGTTGCAACTCTTGTTATCAGAGCATCAGGCAGGCAGACACCAACATCTGTCCCAGGATGTGGTCAGCAAGATGATTGCCTTGAAATCTGCAGCCCAGAATGCAAGTAAGATTGGTCTGGACTCAGTCCGCAGCGATGACTCGCAATACTTCAGTCAGTTTAGTTCCATGGTTCTGCATCCGTGGACATTTATGAAACCCCACCGCAAGCTTGAAGCGTCTCTGCGATGGGAAATACCTCAGTATAAAGCAAAAATGAAAGGTAATGTATTGCTTATTTTTTTATTTTAGGCTCTAGTACATGCGTCATCTATAGGTTTTTCTTGCTTTTATGTTTTTTAAATCCTGTTATTCCATCATCCCATCATTCATAGAGACCACCTCTTTTTCTTTTTTTCTTTCATGCCTAAACACTCAGTCCAAAGAAATTAAAAGAGTTCCATTTATGGACCAAAATTATATTGCATACCGAATAACTGGTACTATATAATTCTAGAATTCACCACTGAACTGTAATTGACAGACTCTAACTTTTGATCCTGCAGTGAAACTGACAGAGGAAATGAGTGACCGTTGTATGACAGAGCTGCTCCAAAGCGGTGCTCAGGGATGTGATATTTCAGCTGACTGCATTCAGATAATGACTACTCGAGGCCTTACTGGTTATGGGATAACTCATCAAATTCTCTGGTCTATTGTCGGGGAAATCATGGTAATAGTTTTATTTGTGTGGTTGTTAAATTAAAATGTGCCATCTCTTCACTGGACTTCGGCTGCAATCTCTTATCCTTCTTAGCATTTTGTAAACTCTGGCAAAAAGTTATGATTGTTTATCCACATCTCAACTTTGTTCTTTTCCCAGATCTTGAGTTTTACGTGCATGTCCATTTGACAGATCTGGCTAATTTGTCTGCGGACAGTTGGTTCGTTGCCTCTCAGGCTGATGCACTTTGATGTCAAAGGAGTGAATCCTGCTTAGTTGCCTTTCACAACATGTTTCTTAGATGGCCAGTGAAGGAATAAATACGAATTAGTTGCCTTTTCCCATATTCCTGATGCACCTCAGGCGTGAAAAGAGATCTTTATTGTTAAATGTTGCCTTTTACAATATGTTTCTTAATGAGGCAGTTGGTCAGTTCTTTTTCAAAAAAGCCCTGTACCCAATACTGGGAGTTGGCTGCAATGTATCCACTGCATACTACTGGAACATTAGGCAGTGAGGCTCCTATCTCTTCTAACATACAATGTTCATATACCACTGTCTGAAAGTCACGGGTATGATTTTTATTTAAACTGCCTGCCGCAGGAATCATTGTGAAATAATTTCACTAAGCTCTAAGCCATAAAGCCGGTATTGTTATCTTTACATAAATTCTAGTTAAATTTTAGTTTTGATGGAATAGTGGTTAGTCTTCAGCTATGTAATAGGCCCAGGGTTCAATCTGCAGAAGTTATCATGAGCAAAGTATTGGGAGAACCATCATTCTACACTACCTACTTACCTTTGCCTGCTCACTCAGTGGATATAGATTCAAACCTCCAGTGAGATGGAAAATGAATACCAGGAATTGTTGCTGGTGTGATTTGACCACATCACACATTGAGTGCTGATTGATCTGTAAAAATATGGGAGTTGCACCATTGTTGAATCAGGAGTTAAGAATGGACATAAAGCAGCACGGACAGATTTCCAATTCCAGTGGCACCAGTAACAGTCTGGTTGGATATCCATCCCACCTTTCCCTTGGGTGTTAATTGTCAGCCAGATAGTTACTTCTTGCAGCACCTTTCTCCTCAGACTGTAATGATCTGTTTGGACCTTTGCTGTGTGTTCTAGCTCCCATAGTGCCCTTACAACATCCAGCTTATCATGCACCAGTTCACCATCAAGTGGTGCAGAACCAGCCCGTTTGTCTGCCTGTTCATTTCTGGACACACCGGAGAACCTGAAGAAAATATCCACAAGATCCTAACTACCTAGGGCCCCTGAAATGAAGCTTGCCACTGTGCATGGAGCATACTTGTCTTCACCTTTTGCAACATGCTCTGTGCCTCAGTTACAACATGTGTGTGTACATCTGGCTCTCAAGTCAGCATGTGGCTGCAGTGACTAGCATCATATGTCCAAGAAGTGAGTTCTATAACCCAAGTGCTGTGCTTTTAATTCTTTCTTCAGCAAATTGCAGATCATTAACAGATCTACAATGGACTAGGCATAGTTACTTGAGTGCCTGTGCTCCAATAGTGGGGGGGGGGGGGGGGGGGGGGGGGGGGGGGGGGGGGGGGGGGGGGGGGGAGAAGGTAAAAACACTATTTCTCAGCAGCATTATTTCCTGCTTCTGTATTCATTTTAAACCCTTGCACCCTGAGAACCTGCAGATCAAACACGTCATGCTGGGTCCAGTTATAACAGGGTTATGTATCAAATTTTATAAGAAAATGCCGCTGGAACTACATCGGCCATGCACTCAGGATAGATAAGACCAGACTCCCCCATCAAGAGCTCATATGGATACCGGAAGGGAAATGAAAACGGGGAAGATGAAGAGAGACAGGGGTGTAGAACCATCATCCGGGAAGTCTCAGCTGTACGCCTTATAAACATCCCATACCTAAAACATGTGACAATGAACCGCCAGACATGGAGAGCTATCACCTCTGCCCTGTGAACCGCCCTAGGCTGAGTAAAGACTAACTACTAACTAATGTGTTTTTAGTGTTCCCAGGGTAAAAGTGCTGAAGTAGCCTTTGGCAAATGTTGTTGTTTACAGCTAGACTGTGATATCTGCACCTTACAGCCAAAAATAAGTGATTTCAAAAAATTATTCGACTTTCATAACGTGCTTGTTAGTCTGCGTCTATGGATTAGGTGTTGTGAACACGCTTAATAATGGGGGAGTGCCAGGTTCGATTCCATCTGCGGGCCATGTGCCTTGCGTTGATTTCAACAGTGGTATCGATAATCGTGAAGCCGACCATCCAGGAAGCAGTGGCAAACTACTGGACATAAATTTGCCTAGAAAAACCACAATAACCAAAAAATGCTGGGATTGGTTCTGCAACATCCTGTAAAGGATATGCAACTAATTTTTGTTAGGAAGCAGTGGATCTATTGGTCTCCCCCACCCTCCCCCCCCCCCCCCATCCTCCCAAAATGGGGCAGCGGAACCCATATGATGAAACAGCATTATCTTTTGTTGTAGTACTTTACATGTTATTACATGTTTCAGTTTTTACAGCCTCGTTTTTAATGTTACTTCTGTTTCCATTCTGCATTTATAATGTTACTTCTGTTTCCATTCTGCATTTATAATGTTACTTCTGTTTCCATTCTGCGTTTATAATGTTACTTCTGTTTCCATTCTGCTTTTATAATGTTACTTCTGTTTCCATTCTGCGTTTATAATGTTACTTCTGTTTCCATTCTGCGTTTATAATGTTACTTCTGTTTCCATTCTGCATTTATAATGTTACTTCTGTTTCCATTCTGCAGCCGAATTGCAGCTTGTTGTTGAGCAAAATGTTGTTGCAGAACAACATGGGAGACATTGGCAAGTTTCAGCTGGAACTGTGCACCAACAACTTCTTTGAGATGGTGGCAGTCGTCCAGGTGTTGATGCACGGCAAGGTACATGAGAGCCAGCAGGATCTCTTTCTTGAGCAGCGTAAGTTGATCCCTTCTGTGTAAGATCCCAGGTTCTGTTGATCCCAAAACTGTTTAATTGATTCCAAAGCTTCTGAGTTGCTCTTAAAGCTACTACTGAATTAATTCCTGATATGCTGAGCTGATTCTGAAGCAGCTGGATATGATCACAAAGATGCCAACATTATCCAGAAGCAGCTGGATATGATCCCAAAGTTGCTGACATTATCCAAAAGCTGCCGGGTTGATCCCAGACCTTAGTTGATCCTAAAGCTGTGAGCAGCTGTAGCAGCTTTTGTTGGAGCCTGACAAAAATCAGGATTAATAATAAATAATGAATTTATTGTAAAGATAAGACATCCTACAGTGAAAGAACAATTATGGCTTGTGTCGTTCCTGTGCGTGTACACGCACACAAATATATATATATGTGTGTGTGTGTGTTTCACCTAATACATATTTTCTAATTCTCCAAGGAATGTATTCCATTTAATTCTGTGCTCTATTCGTGTTTGTTGATAACTCCTTTGATATGTTTTATATGTATCCCCCCATCCCATAAAAAAAATATGTGATTGTTTGCATAAACTAATTTTAAGGCATTTGTTTATGACCTGTGTAAAATGGTTGGCTTTTTTTTTTTTTTACATGATTTTGGGAGGAATTTTTCTTGGTTCATAACACATTTTGTGTGTGTATTTTTTGTTGTTGTTGTTGTTGTTGGTGTTGTTGTTGTTGGTGTTGGTGTTGTTGTTGTTGTTGTTGGTATAACCAGGGTGACACGGTTAAAGAAGAGAAAACTTTTTTGCAATAAGCACATCTGGCATATTAAAAAAACCTATATCTTTTTTTAAACAAACCAATCAGAGTTTAGTGGATGATTTCATCAACACCCCACCATTTCTCAGGGCATTAGCTGATACCCTTTTAGGCTTGGTCGACCCGGGGGCCGATGTCATTTTTGGGGGGGGAAAATCCTGGCCAGTGGGGATTTAACAACCCTTGACCTTTAGGTCGGTAGGCAAGCATTCGGCTGCTTTGCTATTGTAGCTTCCTTTTTTTTATATGAGAAGTATACAAACTATGCAAAATATTGGACTCGAGAACTTGTTAACAACTGGCAAAATTGAGGGAAAGAGGGCAAGACAAAGGCAAAGAGATAAAAACTTGGTTGGCCTGGCCAGTTGGATGAGGCGAGACAAAACATTGAACTGATCTGTGATTTTGGTGATCGTGTGACATGAAGAAACATGACAGCCTGCTGCGCTTAACCAGCATGCATGGTACATGATGATGATGATGAGTATATATATATATATATATATATATATATATATAAGACTGATTGTTATCTGTATCTAGAAAAACTAAGAATCTCTCTCATCCTACTTGAATATTTTCTCACTTTTTGTTTGATGTCTGTTTATCATGAGGTTTTATTGCTATGTCTTCAATTTGCAACTTTCTTTTAAGTGCAGATTTACATTCATTGAGAACTTTATGAATTAAAGTAAGACAGTGTTGTTTGTTTGAACATTATAATATGTATTATTGTAGAATGTAGCAGATACTTTAATAATCGTATTGTGACATTCAGTGTGAGTTTTTGAAACATAGGACATAAAATTAGATAGGCATGTATGCCCATTTCTGAAGTAAAGGGCCCTTTTACGCCAGCATAGGATGCTAGACTCGTATTTTCATAGACCATATGGCATACGATGGGTAATATGGACAGCATCATGCTGGGAACTTTTACTTCCCAGGACATTTCCTGGTATTATTTAAGACTGGGTCTCCCTGGGAGCCAAGGTCAATTTTTGAAATAAACAAATTTGACTTGATACAGATTTAAACTTAAGATCTTTGGTTTGGCAGGCGAATATCTAGCCGCTAGGTTGCCATGGCTGCCCCATTTATTAACATTTTGAAAATCAATTTTGTTCATTCTCTCTCTCTCTCTCTCTCTCTCTCTCTCTCTCTCTCTCTATTCCACCCCCCACCCGCCCCTGCCCCCCCCCCCCCCATCTTTCTTCTCTTCTTCCCTCTTCCCTCCTTTCTCTCTCTTTCTTTGTCTCCTGCGTGACCAGCATCACTTCAGAAGTCCCAGGTAGTTAGCTTTCTTTTTTTCATCTCTCCTCTCTTTCTTGTTCCTCCTCCTTCACCCCATCCTTTCTCTTCAGCCTTTGTTTTTCATTCTTTTTTTTTTTTTTTTTTTTTTTTTTTTTCAATTCCCTTTTGTTGTTTTTAAAGTAGCAAAAAATATGCTTATGAGTTTAGAATGTCAGTAGATAAAAGTTCACCGATCCATTCTTAAATTTGTTTCAAATATGACTGTGCTTGACTCTGTCATGGGCATCTTCTGAGATAATTTCTTTCATTCTCTGTCTCTCCCATGGTGTAACTATAGATACTTTAGTTGAGAAATGTGGTTGCCTTATTGTCTGACACGTTCAATTTGTTTTTAATTTTTTTCTTTTTATTTCAGAGTTTGTTTGTCCAAATTTGGGATTTTATGAGTTTCTGAAAAAAGATTATCTAGATCAGATCCTTTCCTGGCAGTTTCCATCTGGTTGTTTTGGGGAAAAAGATGGCCCAAAAGTTGAAGAAGACATTGATTTGGCCTCTCTTTTAGAAGGCTACCATGAGAAAAATGTTAACTTTATCCCCGAAGTTCGTAAATTAGATCAAGATAGTGATGTTAAGAAAATTACTTTGTCTGAGTCACATGATAATCCAAAAACATTCAAGGGAGACCATGTACTCAAATTTGGAAGAGAGTCTGTTTTGACCGCTACTTCAGTCAAGCTGCCAGGCCTTGTTCGGTCAGTACGGGTCAATGGTCAAATCAGACATGCTGATGTGAACAACAAGACCAAAGATGGCGTACAAGATGTCCGGCGGGGTGTTAACCATTCAATGAATTTGAAGGAGGTGCATCCGTATAGATTAGAATCTATGTCGGCATCTGCACCGACTCCGAAAGGCAGGATCAAGCTTGTACAGAAACTCCATCAGATGTCAGCAACAATCCACAAGCAGACCTCCCGCACAGGAAGTGATGTAGATGGTTTAAATGGAAGGATAAAGACAAAGGGAAGGCGTCTACTGGTTGAGAAGGAAATGAAAGGTGAGCATGCATTTACTTTCACAAATCCCCTATGGTATGTAAAACCTGTCTCTGATAAGGGTCTTATTTGTGTGTGTGTGTTAAAAGTTAGCTGTGTATCCTTTATAGGATGTTGCACAACCAATCCTGCTTTGTGTTTTTGGCTGTTGCGGTTTATCTAGGCAAATTTTACATTCACTAGTTTACCATTGCCTGCTGAATGGTCAGCTCTCGGTACCACAGTCGATACCAACGCAAGACAATCTGCTGCTAAATTGCCCGTACCTGGGATGGAACCTAAGCTACAGACGATGTGTGTGTGTGTAGACACTTGAAAAGTTATATCTTCTTAAGAAAATGTTAGCAGGGTGTCTGGAATTGTTTCTGCTGGATTTGTTTGAATGTGGCTTTTCGAGTCGGAAAGTGTCAAAACCTACAGGTAGTAGTCCCAACGGTAATACAGAAGTTTTTGTAGCAGCTTTTGAAAAATTTTTATAGTTTTATCTTTTTGTTCAAGTGTTAGTGCAAGCATTATACTGTCACATTTTCTTAAGATATGTCTTATTCAGTGCCAGCGCCTTTTCCTCACCTCTCGGTTTACTGAAGTTTATTTAGTTGTCCTCAAAGGCTCCACATGAGTGGTTTTGTCATACAGTTATATTCTTTCACTTTTAATGATACTGTCATCAGGTTTCTGAAAATGTGTCATTGTTTTTTCCTAACTTGGTTTACTGGAACTTATTTAGTTCTCTCTGGACGTTCCACATGAGTGATTCTGTCAACCATGGTATTGATTCTGCTATGTGCAGGCACTAGTTAAAGAATATTTGTAGATTATTACTAATCATTTTGATGATCGGTTTCCACGATAATGTCTGCTTATTAGCTTGCTGAATTGTTGAGTTTCAGCACGTTAACTCCATCTATCCATCTTCTTCTAAGCCTTCCTCTGCACTTGATGTTTCCATTCTCATTTTGTATGCTCTTGCAACCAGTAACACTGGGGGTCATTCTCACCATGCGACCAAACCGTTTTGGTCTTTAAAAAAATCATATTACGTGTGTTGTTCCCACTATTTTAATGATATCTTTATTTCATTTATGGTCTCCTTTTGTTATGTTACTTGCTTTTCTCAAATATCTCATTTCACACCTCATTATTTTCTGCTCTTATTCTTCTGTTAATACCCAGGTTTAGCATTGGTAACACAGTGTTGGCGAAACCATTGCGTTTATTGTTGTGGTGGAATATCCGAGGTCGTAGATACCAGCATCTGCGTAGCACATAACTTCGGCTTCCACGTGATGCCTTTTCAAAAACTGACACTGAAAGGCAAAACAGAATTAAAGAAGAAGAAAAGTTAAATATTAAGTTTTTGTATTAGCAGATTTGAAATGAAAATTGTTTTTTTTTTCTTTTTATGTTGTTTTCTGTGTGTGTGTTAAGAATCTGTCTCTATCTGTTTAGAGGAATGTAAAAACTTTTCAATAATTGTATTTGGTTTCTTTTCTTCAGATGGATGCTTGTCCCACAAAACAGGCGTGGGAAGTGGAGCTGTGGTCATGTACCTGAGATATCTCATAGATCCAGGCAACATCAACTGGACCAGCCAGCATGAGCTTCTGCAGTCGGACTTCCGCAGCCTTTTACAGGCAGCAGGAGAAGCACCAGCAGCGGGCACAGGTGTGGGCACTGACCAAGGTGCTGAAGAGGAGGAGGAAGATGAAGGCAATGTGGAAGAGGATGAGGGTACCCTGAATGATGGCGTGAATTATAGTGAGGATAATGATGCCGAGGCTGGGGAGGATCAGGGTGATGATGATTACGATGAAGAGCAGGCAGCTAATGGAGAAGATAAGGCAGGAAAGGAAAACCAAATTCTTCATGATGTTGATACAGTTGTTATTAATGATGATGCTGAAAAAGAATCTGAGATTTACCCCAACAGTGACAAAGTTATGCCGAAGAACCTAAAGAATGATGATGACACAGAAGATGTGCCTGACCAGGAGGAGGATCACAACTATTACGATGATGAAGGAGAAACAGAAAGAGGTATCATCAAACATAGAAGACCACAGACTTCTCGCCCACATCCTCCAGTTAAAACACGCCGGAAACATTCAGAGAAGTTGACGTCAGAAGAGCAGCTCTACCACCAAGGAGTTGAGTTCCTCGTGCCTGATCATCCTAACTATACTATCATATTGTTTGTATCTATAGCTCCGTTTTTTATTCTTTTCTTTTTTCTCTATAAATTTATTCGAAAACGGAGAGTGCATATAAGGTACTATTTTTAACTTTTACTTTAGAGTGTTGTGTGCGGGCGTGTGGGCGTGCAGTGTGAGAGATGTCTCTTGCTGTGAAAAAGCACTGTGACACTTAGACATTTAGAGTATGATCTCTGTTGGTTTGTAAGAACACTTTCATAAAAGATGGATTATTGAAGTATTATGTCTTGTGAAATGAAAAATACTGTGACAATAGATGGACTTTGGGAATCTAATTCCTTTGGTAAAAAAAAAAAGCACTGTGGTGAAATATAGAATTTTCTGGTCTACAGTCACAGTTTTAAAATCACTTGTATTCTTGTGTAGATACCAGGGCCCCATTTGAGGGAGAAAGAACAGATTCACGGTCCAAACAAGCATGTCATAAAAGGCAAGAAATTAAAGGGTTTTCCCCCACAAAGTCAGAGTGCATCTGCCTGCGAACTGAGGAACCAACATTCTGCATACAGCTAAGGCAGATCTCTAAAACAGGTGTGCCTGCAAAACTAAGTTCTGGGATAAGCTTAAACTCCAGAAGTGGATGAACAACCAAAACTTTCTGCCAGTAATCGCTAAAAGAAGAATTAATAACCAGCATATGGATGCGACCCCAAGACCTTTAGGCTGACAGGCTAATGTCTAGCCAGTACTACTGTGGCTGCCGAGAAGAGTCTGTCGTCAGTTAATAATACTCATTTTGCTAGGTTTTGTAACTTTTATTTGGATATTTGAATGCACTGCTGTTTCTATAACAATTTGTATAACAGTTATTAACTACTTCCTGTCCTTTTTAGGATGACATTTTTCGCTATTTGAAGCCCTTCTCTGGCTATTGACAGGGGCCGCAATATAGCCCGGCCAAAAATATGGCCTAATGGTTGAACACGGTTTCTGGGACCTCTCCACGGTGATCCTCATCCACATGGTGGCACTTTGTGTCATTGGGTGTTTATCGCTTGTGTGATGTCCTGGTGGGGTAGAAAGTCAGTCAGTTCTATAACAATTGTACAGTTGTCACAGCTGTTGGGATAATGTTATAATTAATTATTGTACTTAAAAAGAAAGTGGCGTCCGTGGCTTAGGCGTTGCAAGTCCGACTCTTAATTCCAGTGTCCCGCGATTGAAACCCACTGCTGGCTGTGTGGGTTTTTATCATGGTATATGTCGTCGCAGGTCGACCCAGCCTTTAAATGGGAACCAGGATGTGTGTCCTGGGGAAGTAAAGACGGCCGGCGTAGCGCTGACCACATTACCCACCTAGTGCCGATTGGTCTGTAAAAATATGGGTGCTCTTCCTATATGCCTGATGCACTTAAGATGTAAAGAGGATCTTGACTTTTACTTAAAAAGAAAAGTATTATAATAGTGTGCATGCTGCAGGACAATCTTTTGGGTTTGGATCTCATTAAAGGCACGGAATAATAATAATAATTATTTGCACTTAAGGCTTAAATATCTTGCGTCCTATAGAAAATGTGTCAGGCATTGGTAAATATATGATGTGAGTAAATGACAGACGTCTGTGTGGATGACAGACATGTGAATGGATGACATAGCAAACTGTTGACTTTCTGAGGGTAACTAGTCATCGTCTGATTTCTAATAGAGCTGAAATAATTTAATACTAAGTGGTTCTCATGTGAAAATTGGGGGGGGGGGGGGGGGGGGGCGCAACATTGATTTCTCATTGATAAGTTTTTTTGAATTGGCATGTTCAAAACAGTTGATATCAGTCTTCAGGCTGTTGCCTCGGACAGTTACTTCAGGCTGTTGCCTCGAACAGTTGCTTCAGAAAGTTGCAACTCGTGTACATACATTTTGCTTCTGCTGAAAGGTGGCAAACATTTTTGTGTGATATTTTTAATTTTTAAGGCTTTGTGATGAACAGATTGCAAATCCACGCTTCACTACTTTCAAGATCTGATTTTGTATTACATAACAAATATTGAAAACATGATACAGTGTTTTATATTATGCTATTGTTCCTGTTCAAAATGAGTTTTGATGACAAATATGATGTGGCACTTAAAGCTTTGTTGTTATTCAGTCTTACCACATATATAGACAGTTCAGTTATGTTTTAAGCGCTTACATTATACATAACTGTTGTAAGTTTTTATCATATGTGTAGCTTTGTTATACATTCTTACCAGACAGCCTCTGTTTTTTTTTACAAAATATACAACTTTGTCAAGTTATAAGTTCTTACAATGTTTGAAGTTTCATTATGTTCTTTACATATCTTTTCATATACAGAGCTTAATGTGGTAACTTCTTGTTGCATAAATATATTGTTGTTGTTGTTGTTATCGATCCAGCGGCGCATGAGCTTTCGCCCTTTGGCCCAATGCCATGTAGTGGAATTTGCATGTTTTCACAGACTGTTCTTTTCCTCCGTACAAGGTGTTCCACTTGTCTGGTCTCGGAGGGAGTAGCGTTCTTCTTGTCTCACTGAGTTTTGGGCACTCAAAGAGATTGTGTTTAACAGTTTCGTAGGGGTAGTTACATAAATATATAATCAGTAAAGCAGTTTGTCTTGTCTAATATCTTACATTGTGTTTATTTAAAGAGATTTATCTTGTCTATCTTTTACATTCTTCTTTTTCTTTTCTCTACTCATGGAATGCGTCGCGGCATCAGGGCATTAAGAAATCTCTAGAACAGGCCCTTCTGTACACTTTATATATTGTACTTTTTGGTGTCTTAAGATATTTCTGTGGTCCATATTCTGTGTGGTTGACCACTAGCTCTGTTACTATTGTATCTCTCTGCCGTACCCTGTATGATGCCAATCTTATTACTTGGCCGAAACACTTGATCTATTGTCTAGCGATAAAGTTCAGTGTGGGTTCTGTGCCGTCTCTCCTCCTGATATCATCGTCCCTAAGTTGATCTTTCCTTGTTACTCCTAGCATAGTATGTTTATCATTTTATTTCTGTCCTGACTTTTTCTGAAGACAGTGTCCACATTTGACACTGATAGCACAGTGGTGGTAAGAATATTATGTTGAACAGTGCTCTTTAAGTGATCATATTGACTATTAGGTTATGTTTGCTTAATGTCATTTTTCTGTTGTTATTTGTTGCATTATGTAATATTCTGTCTCAGTGTGGATTCAAACTCAAGATCTCTAGGCACCACATCACCTCCTATAATTTAACACCAACCAAAAAGAAATGTTAATTTCTCATTTGTCAGAACAATACACTTTACAAGCACTGACATTATTTTTGAAACACCTTGTATAAATGTTGTCGTCCACTCACTCGCATATAATAAACACATTGTTTTACTGTCTCAACGAAACAGTTCTCATAGAGACAGTTTCTTCTTCTTCTTCTTCTCTTCCACCTTGTACCTCAGCAAAGTGTCGGGGGGAGATGTAACATTCGTTGATCAGCTCTGTCAAGTGCACTACTAAGACTGATGTTCATAGAGACAGACGAAAGTAATACATTGAGAACAATTGTACATAGACAGTCAATATTTCTTGGAGATGTTATGAGAAGGAATGGGCTCCAGAAAGAGAGCAAAAGGAAGACTAAGAGATAAATACCCGGTTGGATTAGCCAGGTGGATAAGGCGAGACACAAACATTGAACCGATCCATGATTCTGGTGATTGCGTGAGATAGCGAAACATGACAGCTGGCACGACACATGATGATGATGATTTACTGTCTCACTGTAACGGTAATTGCAGATTATTTATGTGTGACTAAGTAGTTTGAAATTTCACACAGATGTAACAGAACAATCATAGAGCTTTCGTATCAAGTTTTTTTCACATGTTATATGCATTTGTGTTTAGATGTATAATGTATTTTTATGTGTATATATATTTATATATGTTTATGACAGTATAGTTTTTTACTATACATTTGTAAAGTTTGTATGGATTATATGCTGTGTGTTTTACAAAGACATAGAGAGAAGTCTCTGAGACCCGTATTGGCATAGTATTAGTATATGTGTGGGTGTTATCTTTTAGACCTGTCCATGTTTGGTTGGTTTTTATGGCTGTTGTTTTTCTTTTGCCTGATGAGTTAGCCAGCTCCAAGCTGAACCTTTTTTCTTAGTCACCATTGACGACATGTCTGGTAGGCTGGAGTGTTACTATTTTGTTACTTCCCTAGCAGCTAAAACAATTTTATAATAAGCTGCAAACTTTCATTATCTGATATCCCCGTGTGGGTTCTGGGGCCTCATTGTGGGAAAAACAAGAATAGACCCTCTGCCTACCCAAAAGCATGTCGTAAGAGTCGACTAATTGGGGAGCTTCCTCTGAAGTCGGAGTACATCTGCCTGAGGGGCAAGGAACCAACAGTCTGTATTCAAGTGAATCAGATCTGTAAAACTGATGCGTACGCAACACTCAAGTTCTGGAGCAGGACTGCAGTTCAGAAGTGGACGAACAACCAGAACTTTCCGCCAGAGTTTACAGCTGGTGAACGTGAAGAAGAAGAAGATTATCTGATACTTATGCAGTAGAGGGAGTTAAATGGTAGGATAGAATTACTAATGTTTCTATCCAACCATTTATATAGTACCAGTAACTTCTCAGCTTTCCTCTAAGTGTCGAGCAGCGGGGAGATCGCCTTGTAACTCCTCACAGTGCCTGTGGTAGGATAGAATCATTAATGTTGGTGAACTGATGTATGACAATCTGGATGCTGTGAGGGCCCTTTGGGAGCGAGTAAACAGTGCAGAGGCACAGAGAGATCCTTGCCGTCTGAGGAGAATGGCATTGCGAGGAGTTACAAAGCGATCTGGCAGACGCTCGACACTTAGGGGAAAGGCCAGACAGATATACAATCAGACAGTTACTGGTACCATCGGAATTGTAACTCTTCGCTTGCTGTTGAAGATGGGGATGGGGCGCTTATGGGGCTGTCCTGAGTGCTTTGATGTTGATTCTTAATTCAGCATTCAGTCACTAATGTGGAGCTTTGGGAGAGAACTTAACAACTTCCAGTGAATCTGGAGATGAAAAAGGTGTGCTGGTATTAGATAGTACACACATTATGAGA